GATAATACTCTTATATAGCAAATAAATAATTATTATAAAAATTAGAAAATTATTTCATATTACTGATATTACATGTTTTATATATTTATATTATTACATGTGTTATCTGTGTTATCTGTTATCTTGTGACATATGTCACTTTTTTTATTTTTATTATGTATTCTAAGAACTTAATTATCTTTCCTAAATATCACTAATCACATGAAGTAATAAAACCATTAATTGATGATGATCATTATTGATAATAAATAGTAAACTCCAAAAAATTATTATTATTTAGAAGTATATATTAATATTATTTTTTTATATGAATTATTTATTAATATTTTTTTTTAAAAAAGTAATAAAATTATAAATTTATAAAAAAATATATTTTTATATATTTTTATATAATAATAAAAATTAGTTAAAATATGTTAATCTCTTATAATGATATATTTATTTAATTTTTTATTAATATAATCTATTAAAGTAACAAATAAAATTTTTTATTAACTTTTTATTAAAATTTTCTATTTTATAATCTTAATTATAAATATTTATATTAAAATAATTAAGTTTAAAAATTTTTTAATTAATTTTCTATCATTAATATAATTATTAATGTTTAAAATTAAAATAATATATTAATATTTTTTTAATTTTATAAATAATATTTTAAAGTGATAGATGATCTACTTTTTTTATTAAATTATTAATTTAATATTAATTAAACTATACTAAATTTATTCAATTTAGCCTAATTAATAATGAAATAGAATAATAGTAATGATCTTTAAATTGAAATAAGAGCAATGTTGTTTTATAAACAATTACTTAAGATTATCTTATAATATTCTTTTATTGATAAAATACATAATATAATTACATAAATATTGAAAGTTAGTAAAATCATCGGTAATATGATTAAAATTTTTAAAATAGAGAATTTGAATATTATTATATATTGACAAATGTGTCGGTTTGGTAAAGGAATAGAAATAGTATGATGGATGGGAGGAATAGTGGATTTAGCGGAAGCAAGATAGAATCTCTATTGATGGTTTTTGTAATGATGAAGAGTAGGCAGTCATATTTAGAATATTATCAGTGAAAACTGACTAAAAGATCGGGAGTCATGTTGTCATAGAGGAATATAGATTTCTTATCATTTTATCTGATCTTGGTTTAATTTATAAATGAATCCACGTATATTACATTGTATAATCAAATTGCGGAAAAAAACACGAGTCAAGATTCTTTTTTAATACATAATATTTTAACTTTGCTGATTAATTCCAAAAATTTCAAATTGACATTCCTTTAGCCAAATATTGCAATTTTTCTAAAATTTCAATGTTTCCAATAACTGGTAAATTAGTGTATCAGACTTTTTTTGCTAACTAAATAATATGTGTTCCATCAAGTTGTAATGATGCAACATATCCTTGACAAAAACGTTCAAGGACGGACAAAATTCTATGTTAAAATCCTGAAAGAATGCAAGTTCATCAGGAAATATAAAAAAGGATTAAAAGTAATTAAACAAGAATTATATTAGAAAGAGAATTATAATGATAAATATTATACCTTGCAATAACTACAGTAGTACGATAGGTTTTATAGCAACGATATTAAAAGATATCTTGATGAACTGTATATAACCCATTAAATTTCAAATAAAGTAATTACGCAATTCGGTCTCTATGGAAATATCATTTAAGTTTCTAAGTATCACTTGCTCAATTAAAGAAAATCAGTGTCTAATTATTAAAATAAAATATCAGTACAGTCCTCATTATCGAATTAATTCAAACCTCTATGAGCTTTCTCTTGTTTAAATGTATCAAATCAATAATTTTGAATGGAATTCCGTAGTAATGGATCCTCGGAACTAATTATAAATAATTATTAGTAACACAAGCGTGCCTATAAAAGGATCGACTGTAGTTGAGTATATTTCCTTATTTAGGAAAAAAAACACATCGTTCTCATGTTGTACATGAATGTACAAAAACAGTTCTTATAAATGTACTTTCGTTTCGTGTTATATTTATTAATTTAGCAAAACAAAGTTCATGAAATAGAATAATTAATCTTGGTATGATCGACACCTGTTTTCACACTTTATTTATTTTTTCACTTTTTTCGTAGTTTTTCAACTATTTTTATCTGAAGAAGTAGTAATCAAGCCATAGAAGAGTATATCATAACCAATATGAAAAGTATGTACGAAATGTGATACTCCACAAATTTTATGAAATTTACAAAATTACGAAAAATTTCGGCTAGAGTTAAACATTTTAACTTAATTAAAACATCAACGTTTATTTAACAAGGAAACTCAAAAAGAAATCTCAAGGATGGAGGTAAGTTATTTAATAATATTAGTTAAAAATTTGATCATCATAAATATATTTAGAATATTGTTCGCGACGTTGACTAACTTGTGATATTTTATTTCCAGTTATAACCCAATAGACAATTAAATTAAATGGTTATGAAGACATTTGTGGAAAGTGCTAATAGACGAAATGAGATTTCGACAATGAAGGTATTCTTTTTTTTTTCATGAAGATTTTAAGATATTAATGGTTAAACCGAGTTCACATGTTTATTTATGGATTATAAGGAGTTCACAACATTGATTTCTTCTACAGTAGGTGGAAGATGTGCAAGAGTATGATTTTCCTAGAGGAATATTAATTACCACATATCAAGTCCTTATTTCAAGAAGTACCTAAGAGAAATAATCATTGGAGAATTGTGTCAAACAATGCTAAATCACAATCAATGTTGGAAAATTCTGATTGCATATTTACCAAGGCAATTAATGAAAAAAAAAAAATCCTTGTTGATTTGTAAATATTGCAAGTATTGCAAGATTTTAATCGAGGACGTCCAATCATCGGTACAGTTAGATTTATTAAAAAATAGAATGGAAATCTTCCATGGAAAAAAATGGAATATCGGACGAGTTGTTGACTGTTACACTTGTATTTATGAAAATGGTCTTTGGCATCATGATGTGACGATTGTGGGGGTAACAATTTAAATTCACATACATATCAGACCTATCTCTTATTTTTGAGGAAACGACAGTTGGAAGAGTCACTTTCATTGATACAAAGAACATGAATGAAATAGGAAAACTGTTTGAAATATCTAATGCGTCATCTTAACATGAATGAAAGGTTTTTAGTGGAAATATCGTTGAATTTATTGTCGTTGGGTTTTTACTAGAGATTTAACCACTTGTTTATTTTTAATTCTTCTAGAAATTTTGGCGACAAAAAAAAATCAAAAATTGATGTATTACTCATTTAAATACAAAATTCCTTATTCATAGTCGTTTATTTTATTTGATATCAATTCTTGATTTATAAATTCTGCATGATTAAGTCAAAGCAAATACGTATGTAGGGAGAGAGTTATTTTATGGTCAATAATATCTTGAGATATATTGATTGCTCGGGTTGTTAATGGTGATTTATTCACGAAGTTTGGATTAATTAATGCCTTGTCAGATATTTTACCTTTGAATTCATTACTATCTTGATGTTATTTCTGACTAGAAATATCCAATTATTTTGCCTTTGATTTTAAAGAATCACAGCCGAAATTTTCGGTAAGTTTGGATCTTTGATGAAATTAGTATGGTCTATTTCCATATACTATAGATATTTGCTCACAAAATATTTTCTTTCTATGATTACTTCAATCAATAGTAATATACTATTAGCATTATGTGCTTCGAATTTTGTAATAAGAATATTGAATTTTCTTTTTCAATCATATAGAATGAGGAATCTTTCTTTTTCTTGTTACCTTTGCCCGGAGGTTGCCCAAAAGTCACCAAAAATTAATATAAATACATAATAGACATTCAACGCTTAGGTTGTTTGATATCGAATTGGAACTTCAACAAAGATGATTTATTATAACAGGAGAACCATGGTTTTTTTCTGTATCTTTTTATTTTTAAAAAAAAAACTTACATTAAATGGACAGATTTGACAGGTATTTCTGAAGGAATACAATATAGTCACATATACAGTAGATCTCAAATATTTGGATTATTTACTGGATGAATTGTCAACCCGTTTTGTAATGAGGTAAGACAGTGAAAAAAAAAATTCTCAATATTAATTTATTATTATTATATATATATCTTGTAAGGCCAAATTTCTCTCATATATTTAATAATGTAATGTAAATCAATGAAATTTCATTTTGTTTTAGGTGTCTTTCAATAATTATCAATCAATTAAAGAACTTAATCAATTTCTTCAATTTCTAATTACCAATTATTAAGTTTTTTAATCAAATTGTCTTTAATTGATATATAAACTACATCATAATTTCAGTAAAAACAGATGATAAAATATAGTATTTTGCAAGGCATTATATAAAAGTCTCAATTTTTATAATAAATTTATCCTAGAATAAGGAATAATTAGAAGACTGAGATTTTAATTATTTTTGTATTTGCAAACTTATGATAAATGAACGGATTATGAGACTTTTGATGATATAAAAAATTTAATGGTTTATGGATTAATTAGTTGTAATTTAAATAAAAGATAATAAATTTATTTGATCCTGGCGCAGTTTAAAGATACATTAAGTTTTTATTAAAATTCTTTGAAGTGATCATAATATTATTCTTATAATTCTTATAAGGGAAGTAAAAAAAAAAAAAAGAATGAATGAATGAATGAATAATGACGCATAATATAAAAAATATTGTAGATTAACCCGTATTAATCAGTGTATAATTGCGTAAAATAAATCATAATTCGCTGAGTGGATAAGAAAAGAAGTTTTTCGATAGCTCTATTACATCTAATCAAAATGATAGCTTGCTAAATTATCGAAACAAGCTACGAACGAAAAGAATAAAAGTCTTTGCTCATATACACATATATACCTTGTATTTTATACACTGATATTTACCCACCAAAAATTATCACTAATTCACTGTACCCGAATAATTTAAGGAATTTAACAAGGAGCCTGCCTTATTGATTCCAAATTGGTTGATCCACTGTCAAGATAAGGTAATTTATATAATCTTCGAGTGAGATGTTATCAAGGGCGTATTGTGAAGAATAAGAATAATTAGTATCAGTCGCGGGAGGAGCGTGAGGAGCGAAAGGTGGTGAGGTCGTGGTAGTAATTGGTGGTGCTGAATGGTCGATAAATTGTATTGGTTGATGTTGTTGAGTTATTTGCATAGACGTATCAGTATTTTCTGGAGTGTATATATCCCAGTTGCAACAATTAATAATAGTATTGTTCGAAGTATTAGAAGGTGATGTATGTTCGAATGCTATTTGTTGTTGTTGTTGTTGGGTTGCTTGCATAGAATTTGATGTATAATTGATAAATGCTATTGATTTGTTATTTTCTGGAGGGCATTTATTCCAATTATTAATAGCATTAACAACGTTGTTGATATTTACATCGTCTTTAATGTCAATACTGGAGAGTGACACAGACGATAGTTCCAGACTATCGTTTATTTGATCGTTGATATTCCAAGTGAACATATATTCCTTTCTCAAATCCTTTAAGTCATCCTTTTTGGTCTTTTTAGATGGTTTTTCTTCTTTTGATTCAATTTTTCTCTTTGTTTTTCTATCGTTATTTATAGTATTTGATGAATTTCTTCTGTTTGGGGAATATTTATAATTTGGATATTTTATTTTGTGACGTTGGAGATACATATCAGCTAAGATCTGAAAAAAGGATTTCACCGTTGTGGTTTCGACCTGCCATTGTATTGAGGCCAGTTGTGATATTAAACGTATGGAAATCTTTTTTGGATGATAAAAATTCTTCACCTTTTCTGCGTAGTCTGTGCGAAATATTATAAAGGCATTATGTGGTCTTGGAACTGACTTGTCACAAGGTATATCTTTGGTCCGATTTGGTTTGTTACTCTCAATTTCAGAATCTTCAGCGATCTCAGCACCTTTCTTATTGACTTTACTAATTGTTTTGCTCGTTTTTATTTGCTTTTCATCTTTTTCTTTGGGTGTAATCAATTCACTAATTGGCAAGGAAAGTTTATAAGGAGGGTTTGTTAATAATGGATGCAATTCTTGTTCTTGTATAGAATTTGATGAATCAAATTCATTGTGAAATATTAATTCGAGTTGTGTCATTATTGATTGATGCTTATCAGAAACGAAAACAAGATTTGCAAAGAATCTAAATAAAAGGCAAATTGAGACAAATTTAAAATTTATTATTATTGTAAAGGTTAAAACAAGTTGGGTAAAAACGGGTTAAGTTTTAATGAAAAAATGAAAAGGAAAGAAGGGGATTTTATTTTAATTTTTTTTTATTCTTATTATATTTTTTAATATTATGAATTTTTTTAAATTTTTTTTTTTTTTTTTTTTTACGATCTCCCAAATTATTTAATTAAAGGCTTATTATTATCTACACAACATTTTATAGTCCAAAAAAAAAAAAAAAAAAAAAAAAAAAAAGTCACCTAGGGACTAAATATCATCAATAACCTATATGGTAATTTTTTTCGGAGTAACGGGATTTGATATGACCAATTCTTTATCGACAAAAGTAAGGTTTTAATGTGAGATTTTCTGAGATACAATATATTTTTTATACGCGTTTATATAAAGGTGAAGATGGCGTATATCTAGTACAAAAATGTTTATCTGTGAGACCGTTTCTCAATTTTTTTCTTTTAAACATTTTCATCTTTAAATACAAAGGAATTCATTGGATGAAAAGTCGTAAATAAAAAAAATATAAAATGGTACAATATAATTACCACCTAAAAAGCACAATATTATACACTAAGTTTTAAAACAATAAAAAGTCACGAACCTTGCCTTTGTCTTAAGTGAAAGTTCTAGATAAAATAAATCGATTGGTCCTTTCGTTACAGATAATGCGCCTAATATTGATAAATAAAAGATTTAGAAGATTGTACAAGAAAATCTTGCCTTTACTATCATTAACTTGAATGTTGAATCCCAACTTTATGTGTTAGATAACAAATATTCATCAGTTTATATACTCTTCGGATTTGGTAAAGCGTTCCCGAAGTGCGACACATGAAGATAACAATTATGTGATTGTAGCACATAATATTACTGATTTTATGATTTAAAAAGTCCAATTTACACTTAAATGTAACTAGCACAATCAGTTTCCTTATTGTTTATTTTTAGAACTATAAAAAAATTTTTATTTATGCAAAAGGATTGAAAATTGCTCCCGAATCATTCCTTTATGTCACATATCTTTATTGTTAAAAAAGTAAACTAAGTACTTTTTGAATAAAAAGATCAAGAACGGCTTTAATTAATCTTTTTCAAGTTTAGGGTTCCAATAAAAGAAAAAAAAATTTTTTTTATTTAGCGCTCAATTCCTAAATTTATTTTTTGTTCCCCATGATCTGACCTTTTTGAAGGATTTTTACCAACAAAAATTCAAAAGGTTTTTTTGTGAGATGTTTTAAATACATGTTTTCTAATATTAGCGCCACCGAGTGTTAACCATATTTGAATAAAATATATAAAATAAAATAATATTTAACACTTACGCGATTTCTTGTGTCCCCAGTAATGAAGGACTATTTTGGAAAGCATTCTGTCGTGTTATCACCTCACATTTATTGGCTACATGTGGTGATACAGAGCCAATAATTGTGCCTATATAAGGAATTTATGGGAAAATTCGGATAGTCAAAGTATTTTGGTATTCCCGTTCATTGGCGGCCATTGGTATGATAAAATTTATAAAATTTTATTAATTTATTAAATAGTTTTAAAGCGCATTTCAATTATTTAGCATTTGGTTGCTAAAATAAAAAGAAAAATCATTTGAAACGATTACTTTATAAAACGAAAATAAGTTCAGGTTTTAACCAATTACTATGATCGTCCTTTAGCTGCTGGATTCTTGGGCCTCCTCAAGAGTTAGAACTCGGATTCATACATGGAATTCCGGTTTCAATATGTAAGAAAATAATTGAATTTTAATTTGTACGACGTACTTGTTGAACATAAATATTTTTTCCCGGTAAATCATCAGCAACCATTGATTATGGGCGGTTATATATATACATATATTTTTATCCATTGTGTATTAATCCTGCCACAATGCAATAATTTGGGTTGGGGTTTTAGTATTGTCAATGAAACGATTTTCCTTGTATTTCCATAAGATTTATATATGTTTTTTGGTTCTGAGTATTCTAAAAAAAAAAACGAATAAGGTTTTTTGTTACAAAATCTACTTGCTTTGTTGTTTTGTTGATATTTTTATTTTTATTGTCGTTGTTGTTGTTATTTTTATCGTTCTTCCTCCCAAAAAAATTTTTTCATTACACAATGTTTTGTACAAAATTTTTTAATATTTGAATGAGCAAAAAAGGCTAGCCATTAACAGCGTTTATAATGGGAAAGTCGGCTGCCGGTCAAAATTCGGCAAAATTCGGTAAAAAAAAAAAAATCCCCCCATAAAACCAGGATATCAGAATATAATAGCGTTATACTCGGAGCACGGAAGACCGAATGTTAGGGAGTGAGACGGTGTGACGCGTTTATTACGATGATGCTAGCACGTGACGTGAAACCCTTATAAAAATGTATTTGCACAATATTTTAATATAACAAGTTAAGTCGGACCATCCTTACGGTAATAATAATAATCATAATAATCATAATAAAAAAAAGGAAATGCGACCCCGTAATTAATTTAAATAAATTACACACATACACACAAATTACAATAATTGTAATACAAATTTACTTGTACAAGGTTAACTCTCAACAATGATCCAACTACAGTGAGAAATATGCATAATCGGTACTTACATTCCTGGTCGATAGATGAATCGCACAAAGTTGATGGTTACATGTAAATAAATTAAATTGACGCGTTCACCCTCAATTAGTCGAACAAAAATGCTTCACATAAAGTGTTAACTAGAGATGGTTAATTTGATGAAAGCGGTGTGATGGAATCAAATATCCGAGTGTGAAAATTAAAAAAGGATTTCAATGGTTTGGTTAAACTTCTACCCCTTAATAAAAAAAAACATTGTTGAATTAGAAGGCCATTTAGTTCAGCGGCGTTATTTGCAATTTACCATTTTCACAAGCTTTTTTTAAATGCTGTGATACAAAAGAACTCGTTTCAAGTTCATAGCGATGTTCATGTACTGTACATACACTAAAAAAAAAATTTGTTTTGGAATCAGAGTTCCCCAATCGGACATTTAATTCCTAATTGTTCCATGATTTTGGAATTTGCTGACAATGTGAAATTATTGGTTTTTAAAAAAGATGCGAGAAATAAATGAAATATTAATTTCTTATTGCAACAAACAAATGTAACACCGAGAATCTAGGAATCATTACTCCGGAAACGGAAATTTGAACTAAATTGCGGATGGACGATAATACATCAATAACATCAATAATAGTCAATACTAAACAGTAATATCCGGAGAGAATCAAGGCCCCATAAAGCAATGCCAAGGGGGAAAGTTTCCCGGGGTGCCATTTCATCTCGATCCATTACCTCAGACCCTCCAATTTTCCACACCAGCTGCAAGCCTTAAATGTATAAGATTCATTTTAGATGTATAATCCAATTTCTTAATTCTTCTGCCTTGGCTATTTATACAGTTAAAGAAATCGATAATATGCTCAACCAAGCATTTTCCGGACTTTCTTTCGTGTTAATCTTTCTTGATTTTCGATTTACCATATCTGACACTTTAAAAGGAGGGATAATAAATCATCAAATTGTGAGTAAAAAATGCAATTTCCTTTCTATGAATTCCCAATATATATGATTTTCGTCGAAAATAGCATTATTCATTTTTTTTTTTTTTCGTTTTTCACTTTTTTGATGTTGATATGATTAATCGAGTTTAAATCGTCCATACATGTTCATCAATTTTAGAGAACCGTGTGAATGGTGTCCTACATGAATATCATCCACTTAGCTATTTTTGTGTTAGCAAATTTCATTCAGATGTTATAGGATTTTATCCAATTTTTATGCTGAGCAATATAATAATTTTTAATATAAAAATGCTAATATTAATTCTATAAATAACAGTATTATAAGTACTGTATATAATTAAGAAAATTTTCTATCTTTTAATGATAATATATCATTTTTATTTTGATTTTTATATTCTTCTTAATAAAAGTTGTTTATTATCTTTATTCTTGAAAATTTTTAAATATAAATTTTCTTAAAGCTTATATATAAAATTGCATAAAATTGTATAATTTATAGGCTTAACATAATAAAGTTTGTATAAATTTAAGTTTTTGTTTACATAAATGTACAAATATAAATTTATATAAATTTGCATAGATTTACATAAATTTTATATAAATAATATAATATAAGGATATATTTATACAAATTCTAAATGACATTTTTTTAGTTGAATTTTTTATATTAATAATATTTTATAAAAGGTTAAATAGTTACAAATTATAAAATATAAAAGAAAAATATGATTGTAAATATTATCTAAGATAGTATTATTATTATTAGTAATTATGATAATTAAAATGATAATGATAATAATAGTAATATTAGTAATAAAAACATATGAAAGTGTTGTTAGAAAAGTAGGATTCTGAGAATTTTTTGACTTAAATTTAATTCTTATTGCATTTTATCTAAAATTTTCTTAAAACCCATTTTTCTAGCAAACATTCCATATGAAATATGTAATATAGATTTAATATGAGAAAAATGTGGATATATTCTGTTTTTAAAATTAATTTATATTTTGACGTATATCGGTCAATAAACACGTGCGCTTAACGGTTAGGTTACACGGGAGTGATTGAAATAAATCAGTCATATGATTTTTTTTCCTCGAAGCAAATTTTTTTTTCGTTTAGAAGTGTATTTTAAAAAAGTTTATTTAGGGTTTTATTTAATTTAATACAATAATGAATATGCTAAAGAAGGACGAAGACTCAGGTGAACGTTATTTCCTTTTTTATAGAGTTTTTAATTTTGATTAAAACTTCGATACTTTTTTTTTAAAAAAAAAGTTGTGAACATGTAAATAGATCATTTCTAGATTACTACTTTGTTAAATTTAGAAAATTGTTCTAGCGAATATGCGAAAATTTCTTAATTGATGATC